CCATCCTTCCATCCATCCATCCATCCATCCATCCATCCATCCATCCATCCATCCATCCATCCACCCATCTGTCCTTCCATCCATCCACCCTTCCATCCATTTATCCATCCATCCACCCACCCACCCATCTGTCCTTCCATCCACCCACCCCTCAAGCATTTATAGAACACACCTCTGTGCCAGGTATGATATTTTCCTCTTCCAAGAACATAAAACCACAAGCATCAGATACAAAACCCAAACCCATCAATCTAGGTCATTTCAAATGTATACATATATTTTTGAGGGGGACACCACTTGCATCTTGAATTATTCAATTTTCCTGTAAACATTGAATTGTGTTATTAGTGAAGCATTTATTCGGTTATTCCTGAAATCTTCCATGACAAAATATATTTTTTAAAAAGTGGGACAACGAATTTTACCCCCAGAGGAGAGTCACATTTTGCAGTCAGTGAAGCATTTGAAGCAGCCAACGCTGGTGTGTCCCCACGGTGGCCGGGCGCGAGGACGATCCCCTGTGCAGAGGGGCTGCTTCTCCAGTCGGGTGCCGCCTCCTTCTCTTGCGGGACGCTCTCCGACATGGCTCAGTGGGACGAGGCCTACACTAAGGGGCGTTCACTTCCTTTGATTCCCCGGGTCCTGTCCCTGGAGGAGCTCCCCACTGGGGCAGCAGTGGCAGATGCAGTGTTCTCTCTTCACGAATGCCCCCTGACCTACTGCAGATGAAGATTTGCCACAGCTTACAGCCACACAGGGCACCTGCTTGCAGGGTGGGGAGGGGCACAAACATGGAGGAGAGGCCAGAGAGCCTATAGATAAAGGGAAGATAACTGTACTGGGAACTGGTGATTCAATAATGACTGTAAATTGTCTGTTGAATTGTGTATGCTTGTGCAATGATGTCATCACAGGCCTGAGAGCTCTGCTGCCGTGTGTCGGCACCTAGTGGGTTCCAAGGTGCGGCTGTCCGTGCTCCTCCCGGGGCCATCACCATGTACACCCATCTGTTCTCCTTCTGCTCATTTCACACTCCCAGTGGCCGGCACAGCACAGGCCAGCAGAGGCCTTGACCACAGCATCCCAGTGTACCACAGCTGGTTCTGCCCACCCCTGCCTCTGGCACATGGTGACATCTGACAATTTTGCAAGAGGCTGTGATGCCTCAGGGCCCCGTCCCAGGGAGCGTGCTGCTTCCTCAGAGCTTCCTCAAATGCTTCACTGACTTCAGTTTTTTATGTTGGGCTTTGAACCTCCTGGAAGCGTGGACAAATTGGAAAGCCATGGTCGACGAGGCTGCTGCTCTCTGATAAAGGAGGCTCAGCAGCACTCTGGGAGGGCGGTGAGTATTTTCCCAGTGCTGGAGTCCAGACGGTCTCTGTCGGCTGCCTCTGGAAAGAAGCCACTTAGACTTCGAATGGCTGAGGTCTGCCTTGTGGAACGGTGCCCTGAGTGAGTGTCCTGGGGCTGCCACATAAAGTACCACCAACTAGGCAGCTTAAAACAACACTCATTCTCTCACAGTGCTGGAGGCCAGAACCAAGATCAAGGTGTGGAGGGCTCTGCTCTCTCCGAAGACTCCAGGGGAGGGTCCTTCCTTGTCTCCTCCTGGTCCTGGGGGACCGGGAGTCCCTTGGTTTAGGGCTGCATCACTCCAATCTCCACTCACCGCATCTTCACGCCCTTCTCCTCTGTGTCTGGACTGTTTTCTCCTCTGTCTTGTCCAAGGACACTAGTCTTTGGATTTAGGGCCCCCTTGGACAAGCCACACTGATCTTATCTGGAGATCTTAACAAGTACAAACGCAAAGACCCTTTTCCAAATAAGATCACACTCACGGGAGGTGGGCCTTGTTTGAAGGACGCTACTATTCACCCCACACATTTCTCCCAGAGGTTACTATGAGAGCTTCCCTCCCCTGCAAACGTCAGAGAGTGAGGGTTTGATGAGGAATTCCCGTGTGGAAGGGGGCGTTATTTCAGTGAGCTGGAGGTGTTTGTCTGGGGCAGGTGGACTGGGTCATCTTCCTCTCACGCAGATGTCCCTCTCACTCTCCTCCCATCACGCCCTGAGAGGCAGAAAGCCCCCTTATCTAAAATGGAAGGGGTGGCTGGGCGTGGTGGCTCATGCCTGTAATCCCAGCACTTTGGGAGGTCGAGGCAGATGGATCACCTGAGGTCTGGAGTTCAAGACCAGCCTGGCCAACATGGTGAAACCCCATCTCTACTAAAAATACCGAAAATTAGCCGGGTGTGGTGGCGCACACCTGTAATCCCAGCTATTTGGGAGGCTGAGGCAGGAGAATTGCTTGAACCCAGGAGGTGGAGGTTGCAGTGAGCTGAGATTGTACCATTACACTCCAGCCTGGGCAACAGAGCGAGACTCTGTCTCAGAAGAAAAAAAAAAAAAAAAGAAATGGAAGGGGGCTGACTGGGCTGTGGGTGGCAGGTGACAGCAGCTGGGGTTATGGAGCAGGGTAGCTCTCCTACGTTGGATGCAGCAGACGTGTCTGTCCAGGGCCCGCCCCCTCCTTGGGCAGGCTCCCTACCTTCGCTAAGCCTCAGTTTCTTAGACTGGAAGATGGACAAAGGATTTATCTCAGAGGGAGCCAGTGAAGGCTCAATTAAATAGAGGCTGGGAAGTGCAGGTCAGTGGGATACACGTGTGCATGGCGAGCGTACCCTCTTTTTGGGGCTCCACTCTGGGCCCTGGAGAAGGTGAGGAAGGAGGGAGGGGTTCCCCTGCGTCCGCAGGGCACTGCTGTGGCTAGGAGCTTCTGGGAGCCTCCAGCCAGTGGAGAATGGGGGCTGCTGTCCCTGAATGTGCCCCCACTCCGGTGAGAGGGCCCTCACCCCACGCACCTGTCGGATCTGCTTGAACCCATCAGGTGGGATGTTGGAGAAGATGTTGCACTCGGGCTCAGCGAGGATCTGGAAGGCCACGGCGCAGTGGTGGTTCTCCAGCGGCGAGATGTCATTGTAGCGAACCGCCAGCTCTGTGCGGGCGTTGATCTGGTACCTGGGAGGCGAGGAGAGAGTGAGGGGAGGCTCAGGCGCCCTCACCAGGCACCTGCACTGGGGAGCAACGCCCAGGCATGTAAGTGGAGTAGAGTCGGGGAAAAAATGCCATGGGGGCTGGGGGAGCCGCCTGTGCCCTGCCCCACCCAGAAGGTCCCTCCTGCTGCTCGGCTGCCCCTGCAACTTCATGTCCCCATGCTCCTGCAGTCCCAGGACCCCTCTGAGGAAGCAGCACGCTCCCTGGGACAGGCCCTGAGGCATCACGGCCTCTTGTGAAATTGTCAGATGTCACCAGGTGCTAGAGGAGGCAGGTGGGCAGAACCAGCTGTGGTTCACTGGGATGCTGTGGTCAAGGCCTCTGCTGGCCTGTGCTGTGCCGGCCGCTGTGAGTGTGAAATGAGCAGAAGGAGAACAGATGGGTGTGTGTGTTGATGGCCCCAGGAGAAGCGCCGACTGCCGCACCTTGGAACCCACTAGGTGCCGACACACGGCAGCAGAGCTCTCAGGCCTGTGATGACATCGTCACACAAACACACAATTCAACAGAGAGAGCTGCTGTGCCACTGTGGACACAAACCCAAGCCCACGGCCTGTACCATGTCTGCCATGGTCTTCTGTGCCTGTGGAGGCAAGAGTGGAGCAATGGTCTGTCCTTCTGATCCCTGGCCCCACAAGGGACACCTCACTCCCACCTCCTGTCATTCTGCAGTCCCTTCTCTCACTCTCTTCTGGCCCCTGCCTCTGCCTTCCCTGCAGAAGCCAGCTGGAAGCCTGCAGGGGGAGAGACGAGCTCCTGAGAGGGTGTGTGGAGCCCCCATCCCCGCGTGCCCACAGGCGTTGCTCCCTGCCTGGGGTGGAGAAGGCGCCGGCATGGCCAGGGCTCTGTCGTGCACCTGAGCCTGGACCAGGCCCGCGCAGGGGTGGGAAAGTCCCCCTGGGGTTTGATAATCCCGAAAGTTCCTACTCCGGGGAGACCCGAGGCCCTGGGCAAAGTCCAGAAGCCGGGAGCTGTGTCAGTGGAGGCAGAGCTGGGCTGGGAGGCCGTCGCTGACAGCTCCTTCTGGGAACTGCTCTGAGGGTTGGGCTGACGGGTTCCCTCCAGGAGCCAGGGTGCCTTTTAAAAGGAAAACAAGAGAAAATCCTGTACATACGTGTTGTTGTAGCCGGGATGGTCCAGATCGTGGCAGATGGCCGCTGTCATTAGGATCAGGATATCCGTTTGTGAGAACTTCTCCTGGATTGGAAAACAGGGCGCAGGTGTTTGCCCTCTTCACTCGGAGGGTGGGATGGGATGAGGGGGGTGGAATTGGGGGAGTGGTAAGGTGGGGACAAAGGCCCCTGCAGCCATGTGGGGTCTCCTGGCATGGTGGGAGGGGACCAGCCTTCCTGTGGGGGTGGATGGTGACCAGGTCGGGCGCACACCTGCTCATGTAATCCTAGAAGCAGCCTCGCCCATGGGGAGACTGACAGTGGTGGGGGGGGTGCTTCCCTAGGAGGGGCGGAGCGGCTGGGGACACCACACCTGTGGCTCTCTTGGTGGGATGGGGCTGCCACTGCCTGGAACGGGCTTCCATCTGACCCCCGAGGGTGGAGGTCTGGGTGTGCGGCGGGCAGGACCCACCTGGAGGCCACAGAGCCAGACCATGCTGTACATCATCTGGGCCACGCAGAAGCAGTGCCGGAAGTTGTGGAAGGGGTTGTTTCTGTAGTTGTCGTGGACGCAGAGCTGTGGGAGGCAGGGGGTCTGGGTCACCCTGTGCCTGGGCCCGCCAACCTCTCCTCCCAAAGTCACCCAGAAGGCTGTGCGCTGGTTTGAACGTTCTCTGCCAAACCCTCATCCCAACCAGAGGTCAACAGTGTTCCCATGTTTACCACAGGTACCAATGAGGTGACACAGGGACCCTGAGAATGTCCAGCGGGCCGCACCACAGCACCCGGGGCAGGTGTGGGGACAGAGCTTCTAGCAGGGGTTTTCACCTTGCAGTCAAGGACTGGGGTGTCCCCAGAGGTGTCTGAGGAGCCACAGTGGGGCACAAAGTTAGGAAGTTCGGGGATGGGGGAGGGGAGACTCCAAGACGGGGCTCTGGGTCCCCAATCACCATGAAACCTTTAATAGGCTTTTAATATTTGGTTCTGAGCAATATTTCATTAAAAAATGCCTGCTGCTAAACATACGCACACATGCAGACGTCCACATGCACACACCCACTCTCTACACACTCCACGCACACTCACAGCCCACATCCACACACACATCCACAT